CCCCCGACAGAATATGCTTCTGCTATCAAAATTAGGTCTACTTTTCTAAATTAATATATAAGTTTGCAAGTTCTTATTTACAAAACATCATTGGCTATGTCCGAACCTAAATTTTATGTTAAAAATTGCGGTACTGTCAGATTTTAGCATAAACAGAGAAAATTGCAGCAGCGCATGAATCTAGATGAGATGCACTACTTTCCAACCCCGCTTAGGATCATTGCTATCACATCGCCCCCAGGCAAAATCGGTGTGGTGGCTGATACTCTGTAATGCGATCTGACACACACCTGAAAAACGGGTAGTGTGGTCTGATAAACCGGTTTATACTGGACCCGTAGGTGCCGAGTCTGGTAGTTGGGAAGGCCTGAAATTTTGGCCTGTTGCCACTAACCTAAATTCAGTGAAGCTAATTCATGGAGTAAATGCACCGCCAGTTTCACTCTCAGAAGTTTCTCCCTGATATAAAAGACAGACTACTTATAGAGCAAATTAAATTATATTCAAAACGCACAAGATGTTTTAACGCTTAAGACACCGTCATGCAATACTATGCATATTTAACCAGCTTATCATCAGTAAGGCTATGTCAAAACAACACTTGCAAATCGATTGCTCATAATGTTTATAGAATTGGATCTGTTTTAGTCATAAAAACTTTTGACTTAGGTGGTATATTGTAGATACGGAAGAGTCTATAGCTAATGGCGTTGTAGTAGACCAGTTACCAGTGAATAATCGCAGATTAATGACCATTTCCGTAGGACCAATAATTTTAATGGACATGCATTTGAAAGTCTTCAAACGGTCTTGTCAATTTTCTAATCAAAGGGGCGGTTTCTGATTGTCATCGAATCTCTCCGTGAGCTAAGTTGCCAGTAAATGCTCGTTACCAGTGAATAATCGCAGATTAATGACCATTTCCGTAGAGCAAATAATTTCAACGGATATACATTTGAAAGTCTTCAAACATGCTGGCCAATTTTGTTATCAAAGGAGCGATTTTTAATTGTCGTCGAATCACTCCGTGTGCAAAGTAAATTTCCAAAAGCTCTATGGCTACTTTTGCTCAAGGAAATCGCTACATAAAGTTGTTTGAAAAGCAAAATCAATGAATGTCATCGGTACATGAAATGATTGTGGATTTTCTTCACTGAAAGATATCTTAAGTGCATGATAACGGTTGGTGGACAGTAGAAATATTTTGAAAAGGAAAGTCAAGATTTTTCTTTATTCTGATTTTTGCTAACATTGAATGTTTTTACACGTATAATGGCTAAATATATACTGAAACGGAATTCGATCGCAGTATCAATATTTTCACAATGATAACAGCACATTTCAATTCTTGTCCAAATTTTAGCAAGCCTTCTATTGCGTCAACCTACCGACCATATATGCCTTTATGGGTATATAGGTATTGATCTTCTAAGGGCTCATTCTCAGTGAAAATTCTGTTCTAGATAGATCGATCCAACTCCGCGGGGACTCTCGCTGAATGCAGTATTCAGATTAACACGCCTCCTCTTGTTTCCAACACACTCGTACACACTGTATAATCAGTAGCTTTATTTTTGTATTCTACTCAACGCTTGAAGGACGGCTGAGGAGGAGGCGTGTTAACCTGCTGATCTCATTACATTCAGCGAGATTCCTTGCGGAGCTGGATCGATCAACGTAGACCGATAGTTTCATTGGGAATTAGCCCTAACTCAAATACAGTATATTGAATATTTAGCCTATGCGTATTTGAGAACAGGAGGACTTTAGTCATTAAATGGCCTTACCGCTTTTAAGACCAATAAAAACTATAAAACAAGTAATAATTTTTATTTGAGGGTGATTGCATGCACCTCTGCACAAATAAACTAACAGATGAACTTAATGAAAAACAGAGACAAACTATCGACCAGAAATTTATAATCACGCCGTTTCTAAGATCTTTGAATATTCGTGGCTTATTTTGTACATAATCATTCACCTTACGTATTCAGAACAGTCGACAGGTACATGTAGGCCTACCTGGTAAGTGCACGAGACTATCTAAAGGTGAAAGTTTTGGTTCATTCAGTTACAGGTAAACTAAGATAATGAAATGAAATTAATCTAATAGTGGGTCTTGCGTTGAAACGGAGATCACGAACTTACAACAAGAGCTTCAGGAGAACTGATTTTGAGTTGTCACGGGTGTCACGTGGTGACGGTCTGCGTGAGTAAGCATCCCCTTCATAAAGAATATGTCTAATAGACTTAGGGGAACTTTCAATCACTTTGGTTTTGTAACAGATTATAAACCATTTAACACACCCACGAAACCAGTAAGTCCATGTGAAAGACAGAATGCTGAGAATAAAATACCCGAGGAAAAGTAACGGGTGTAAAGTGTAAGGGCAGTTTCCTGTAGTGACTGCATGCAAAGGCGCATGTGAAGAATCAAAACAGTCTATGAGAAGTAGAACGCAGGCGCTGTTGCTCAGGTGAAACATATATAACTCTGCATTATTCACCCACCGACAACACCCCTCTAATACTTTTGACACCAAAGACATTATACTCGTCGGACTGGTTTAGACTGAAAGAGACCATTTTGATTCATGATCAGAATACTGTTTCATGTACTCGGTTCAGCGGAATAAGCACCACTTCTGCCATTTATTCTTAACATTTTCTTTGCATGGCAAGTAGAGGTTGTCAACTATCCTGGATACAACGGTGGTAGGCTATCTATAAAGGGTCGAGGAAACTGTGGGTCTATCGATCCAACTCCGTGGGGACTCTCGCTGAATGCAATCAGTTAAACGGATGAGTACACCTCCTCCTAGCGTAGAGTAGAATAAATAAAGAAAAGCTAGTGATTATGGGAGTACGTTGGAAACAAGGGCTCATTCCCAATGAAACAATCCGTCTACGTAGATCGATCCAACTCCGCGGGAACTCTCGCTGAATGCAATCAGATCAGCAGAATAACAATAATTCTCCTCAGCCGTCCTCAGGCGTTGAATAGAATACAGAAAAGCTGGTGATTATACGAGTACGTTGCAAACAAGCGGAGACATGTTAATCTGTTAAGCTGATTGCATTTGGAGTTGTATCAATCTACGTAGACCGATAGTTTCAAGGGGAAAAAGTTCGAATAGGCCTATTTAGGCTTAGAAGTAATCTGTCTAGTAAACGCCATTCATATTACCTCCAGGAAAAAAAAATTGAATAAACTTCTACAATCTTTTATTACCTCCCCTCACCCACCCCCATCTCCAGCCACCATGCACCCACTGTCTCAAACTTCCAGGGACATAAAGCAGACTTACTTCTTTTCAATATTTCAGTCCAGCTGACACAATGGTGTATGCGTCACTCAGAAATTTCTTTCGCACAATATATCTCCTTGTTATGGACTTGTACCACTTTCCCGAAGTTCGGGGTATGTTTAAGGCCATGATTGGAGAAAAATAGGAAAGACGATAAAGTTAATGGACAGCGAGGGGAATGGCCTGGCTGCAGTCGAAGTTAAAGGAGTCCACTTACCGCTGTTTCCTCTTGTAGAAAGTAACATTAACAATATTGACAAGTTTCACGCTCGTGGGGATGATGTTTTGATAGTGAATTGGCCTAAATCAGGTAAACTCTCTCTCTCTCTCTCTCTCTCTCTCTCTCTCTCTCTCTCTCACACACACACACACACACACACACACACACACACCGTGACAGAGAGAGAGAGAGAAGGGAGAGCGGGTAAGATCTTATTTATCTTTAATCAACAAATAGTTGGCTATTTCAAGTGTGAATCGGGGTCTAATTACGCCTATCGCCTATGCAATATACGACAAAATACACGATTTATCAATATATTCATCATACTTCCTTCTTAAGAGTTAATCTCTTGAAATTATATTTTTTAATACTTTTGTTTTAATCAATGGTACAAAATTCTCAGAATGTCCTTTTAGTAATATGAAAATTTACAGAACGTTGTATGTCTATTGTCTTCTCTCTAGGAACACATTGGGTGTATGAAGTGGTCAAACTGCTCATGACGGGACGGGAAGAACTCACTGACAGCATAAAAGAAGGCACCATGTTCCCGGAGGCGTGCGCTGTAGAGTCCCTGGAAAAACTGCCGTCGCCGAGGATTTTAGATACACACGTGCCGCTGAAGCTGTTTCCAGATGAAGCATTGAAGAAATCAATGATTATATACATACTACGGAATCCAAAGGACGCCTTCGTGTCTGGATATCATCATAGGAAAAACTTGAAAGGCGGAACATCATATTGTGGAACTTGGAATGGGTACTTTGACTTAACCATAGACGAAAACGCATGTAAATATATATTTTTTCGAAAGAAGGTTTTCTCTAGAAAATGTACATGTAACTCATAACGCAAGAATGACTACTTTAATATGCAAATGTTAACATCATTTGTCAAAAAAAATGATTTATGTTTGGTGAAATTTCAGTATTCTATGTATCATGCTCCCTGACAAGCATGTGAAATAAACCTTTTTAAATCTTTTCAAACGGAGAAAAATTTCAGCGAGAATGTGACAACAGACTTTAATTTTGTCTTCCGTACCATCTTCTTAAACTCTCAATACTCATGCCGCATTATTCATTATTTTCTGAAAACAGTAACATATAAATGTTTCATTAATCATTGTCAAATAATGCTTATTAAACATAGTACTGGTTTTATTTTGATACTGAAAATTCGACAAGTTTTAGAATTAGGCTGTTTTTTTTAACATAAAAAATAAGAGAAGGGTTAATGCAATGTCTTCAATGCCATTCTTTCAATTAGGTGTGTACGGATCTTGGTTCGACCATGTTGCGGATTGGATGGAAGTTTTAGAAAATAACCCCCAATGCTTTGGTGGTCAAATATGAAGATATGCAGCGGGTATGGCAGTTAGTCATTTTATTTTTTCATTTCAATATATTCATTATTACAAGCTTTCTCTTAAAAACCAGGTTCACACCAGCTACACTTTTCCCTAGCGCGGAGACTGCTTTTTGTGCACACACAGGTAAGAAGTTTATCGAGGGTATAAGTTTCATATTGTGAAAAAATATTAAATGACCAATGCATATGTCCTAATGTTCATACTGTATTAGAAGCTGATAGAGTCCAAATCATCGGAGTAATATTATTAAAGGTCAGGGATCTGTCAAGTGTTTTGCATTTTATTCGAAAGTATGAACTTTTATTAAAAAAAAAGTGAATGTTCCAGTGCATTTGTTTCTAAGAGAGGTAGAGACAGAGATAAACAAAAATACCCCAAAATTATTCTTTTCAATTTCTAGGACCTTAAGAAAGAGGTACGCCGCGTTGCAGAATTTCTAGGTTATCCCAAATCCGAAGAGGTCTACGATAATGTGACTAAAAAGTGCTCTTTTGGGCACATGAAGAAAGCAAAAAAAGAGCCGAAATTTTTCTGGAAGCCAGGAGACAGCATGTACAGAAAAGGTAAGAGAAGCTGATTTGTCCTTTCGTATAGCAGACACTCGCAACTGTCATATTCTAAGGATTTCTAGTTGTAAAGTTATAGACTATTTATGTCGTGTTCGTTAGAAAACACATTTTCTTTTATTTATTATAATAATTTTTTGTCTTTTTGTAGGTATTGTTGGTGACTGGAAGAACCATTTCACTGTAGCGCAAAACGAAAAATTTAACGCCATCTTCAACGAGATGCGAAATAAACTTAGAGTGAGCGTTGACTTTGAGCTTTGAAGAATGTATTTGGGCCAATAATTTACCAGTATAGGTCAATGGCACGTTTTCATAATTGTTCATCTAGGGATTTTAAGATGTTTTCTACAATACTTTCGCACCAAATCTAATTTTAGTCGAATTTAATTTTAGAGAAAGATGTGTTTTTCTCTTACGAACTTACGGACCATTGCTTGAGCCAGTCAGATGTTTATGCCAATTCGTATTCATGCAATAATTATTCATTTTAGAAAGATAAATCGGCATCGCTTACTTTTTGCCTACTAATTTATATGTAGCTTGGGGCAAATAGGCGGGTATTTATACTTAAATGTGATTTTGGGAAGTTTTAAAATGCGCATAGTATACCTTTAAATTGTGGTCTTACAAAACCACTCCGAAAACCATGTTTCTATGAAATAGGTATTGAAAACGTGGAATACAGAGCCTTATCGCATGTGTTGCTGTTTTTAGAATAAATCATCATTAACATAAATTATTATAAAATTCTACACGAGCTCCAGAACTTTCCACGTTAAGAAAGATTCTCATACTCCTGGATTTTCAACAAGGTAAAGGGTTATACTTACACGTACATGTAGGGTGCAAGCGAGAGCACACAATTTATGCTCTGAAGTTCTGCAATAAAAATAAATGTCAGAACAGTAATACTTTGATAAAATTACTTTATTTTTAACTGTTAAGCTTAACTTGAACATTAGAAACGTTTCTCAGAGTAAGAAATAAAATATGTTCAACTATATCATAAGAGCCAGAAATCAAATGTTTGTTTTGTCTTAAAAATGTTGGAGGTTAGATAGGTGTGAATTATAGGTTTAGTTACGAAGAAAACGAGATAGCATTCCATTCTTCACGTCATGCTTTACTGCGCACATTATATTCAATAAGACAAAGTATAGTTCAATAACTGAAAAGTAGCTCAAAGTTTGCTGGATACAGTGTTGTACATGCACAGTTCGAATTTCAGGTTGAGTATGAATTTTACTTGCAAGTCCAATTGTCAAATAATTTTTAAAATGTTTACTCAGCTATACCTTTAATACGTTAATCCCATTATATGTTTTCTCGTAGTTAACACTTTAATGAAATCCTTTGTATTTTTGATATCTTTGCTTTACCTGTATTTTTATTGTAAACTAATCTTGTGAAGTATCTATCTATCTATCTATCTATATGCAAATGACGAAGGGAAGATGCATGCACTGTTAAAACGTTAATAAAGGAATTATTATCAATCCAAGTAACTATTTTGTCTACAGGGTTAATACTTTATATGGAATATTTTCTTTTATCATTGTTATTTTAGGGTGCAGATTAAATTTTTTTGGCTTTATTAATAAAAAAAAATATGTCATTGAGTGATAATAATATTCAGTCTTCTAATGTGAGATATTTTGGTCAGTGATATCAAATCTGACATAATTTGTTATTCAAAAGAAAAGAACACCCCTAGAAAACCATATCAACACTTTGATGTCAGTATTAACTTTAAGCTGAAATATTAAAGAAAATCATGGCCTCCGGACAGTAATATGCTACACAGTCAAATAACTCATTACAGTTAATAACAAAAAGTAATCAATAGCGGGTATGACCTCCAGCAGCCGCTTGGAGCGCCCTCACCCTACATGGCATACCCTGTGACAAGTTTCTCAGAGTTCAGATGGGGATATGATTCTAGGTAGTGATATCTGTCTGTCGTAGTTCTTCACTTTTTACCGGCTGAGGATTATAACTATTAATTCTGCGGGTTACTTCCGGTCAATACAAAAACCCATACAAAAACTATAAAACAAGTAATGATTTTCATTTGAGGGTGATTGAAAAGGGGCCAACAATTTACATGTAGGCCTACCTCTGCAGAAATAAACTAACTGATAAACCTCATGAAAAATAGAGACAATCTATCGATCAATAAATTATAATCACGCCATTTCCAAGATCTTTGGCTAGTATGATTAGCATTTTTTAATGTCGCCAATAAGAGTTGACCTTGAATCTAAAGTACGGTTTTCTTAACAAGCTTCACTATCCGTGGCTTTCTTTTGTGCAAAAGCATTCACAGTGTGTGACACATACGTTTTCAGTCAAATTAACAAGTAGGCCTACTCGATAAGTGCACGAGATTATACTATAGTGGTTCCCTTCGAACCTCAAAGTGAAAGTCTTGATTCATCCAGTAAACTAAGATAATGAAACAAAATTAATCTAACAGTGGGTCTTGCGTTGAAACGGAAATCACGAACTTACTGCAAGGCCTTAAGGTGAACTGATTTTGAGTTGTCACCGGGGTCACGTAGTACCGGTCTGCGTGAGTAAGCCTCCCCTTCGTAAAGAATCTGTCTAATTAGGGAAATTTTCAACCACATTGTTTTTGTAACAACACACCCAAGAAACCAATAAGTCCATGTGAAAGAAAAAATGCTGAGAATAAAACACCTGGGGAAAAGTAACGGTGTAAAGTGTAAAGATATTGACCTGCATACTGCAGGGCTCGTGTGGGGGGAATCAAAACAGTCTAAAATACAAAGCAGAACGCAGGCGCTGTAGCTCAAGTGACCTATATATGACTCTGCAGTATTCACCCACCGTCAACACCCCTCTAATACTTTTGACACCAAAGAGATTATTATACTCGTCAGAGGAGGACTGGTTCAGACTGAAAGAGACCATTCTTATTCATGATCGGATTGAACAACCCGCCCTAAACCAGCACGGCGGCCTGAGATAATCACTACACCTCAACCAGACATCTGTGGGACCGGGTCATGGGAGACATTCCGGGCAGACTGTGACCATGTGACACCAGTGACACAAAACAGTTCACCTTGAGAAGGCCTTGTGAAAGGTCGAAACGTTTGTGATCTCCGTTCCAAAGTAAGATCCAGGATTAGACTTTATTTTTCCTTTGTCCATTTAATCCTTAATTGTTTACACATTTATGTAAGATTTGGTGTGGGTTAATAACGAAATTCTAATAATGATATCTTACTTAACTCATGATAAAATATATACATAGAGCATTCCGGGAGATGCAGTGGGGGGACCACTCCCTCTGCTTTTCCAAAACAAAATGGCAGATTCAGTCATCGTTCGGTGACCTTTTCAAGGGAGAGTCAGTGCACACACTTTGGCGATCAGAATACTGTTTCATGCACTTAGTTCGGCAGAGTTAACACCACTTGTGCCATTTATTCTTATTAGTTCCTTTGCATGGCGGGGAGGGGATGTCAACTATCCTGGATATCTGTAAGGGGCCGGTGAAACTGTGGGTCTACGTATGTCGACCCAACTCCGTGGGGACCCTACTTGAATGCAGTTGGTTAAATAGATTAACACGCCCCCTCCTAGCGTTGGGTAGAATATATAAAGGCCGGTGATTATGCGAGTACGTTGGAAACAAGGGTTCGTTCCCAATGAAACCATCGGTTTGTGTAGATCGATCCAACTTCGTGAGAACTCTCGCTGAATGCAATCAGATCAGCAGACTTCGATACTTCTCCTCAGCCCCCCCCCCCCCCACCCCCGGCGCTGAGTAGAATACAGAAAAGCTGGCAAGTGTACTGTATATTTTTGTCGACATAGAGTATTCTCTAGAAAACGTTATTCATAACACAAGAATGAATAATTTAATATGGAAATTTTAAACGCATTTGTTAAGATGTTTCATTTTTGCTGAAAAGTACGTTTAAACCAAAGGGAGTGGTGTTAATCTGTTATGCTGATTGCATTCAGTGAGTCCCCTCGGATTTGTATCGATCCACGTAGACTGATAGTTTCAGTGGGAATGAGCTCTAATAGGCCTATTTATGCCTAGAAGTAATTTGTCTAGTAAATGCCATGCTTACTACGTTCAGGTAAACTTTTGCATAAACATCTACAACCGTTGACCCCCCCCCCCCCTCACCTACCCCCATTCCCAACCACCATGCACCCACTACTTCCAACTGTCAGGAGCATAAAATAGACTTACTTCTTTTCAATATTTCAGTCCAACTGTCACAATGGTCTTTGCGTCAATCAGAAATTTCTTTCGCACAATATATCTCCTTGTTATGGACTTGTACCACTTTCCCGAAGTTCGTAATATGGTCAAATCAGTGGTGCTCGGTTGGAGACAAGCAGGAAAGAGGATAAAGTTGACAGACAGCGAGGGGAATAGCTTCAGTGCAGTCGTCGTTAAGGGAATTCACCTACCGCCGTTTCCTCTTGTAGAAAGTAACATAAACAATTATGACAAGTTTCACGCTCGTGAGGATGATGTTTGGATAGTTAACTGGCCTAAATCAGGTACACACACTCACACACTCACTCTCTCTCTCTCTCTCACACACACACAAACACACACACACACACAAACGCCGAAAGAGAGAGAGAGAGAGGACGAGTTGAGAATCTATTCATCTTTAATCAGCATACTCAGCAAACAGGTGGCTATTTCAAGTGTAAAATGGGGACTAAGTAAGTTAAACACCTGTGCTATGTTCGAGACAAAATACCATATTTATGAATCTTTTCATCGTACTGCGTTTTTGAGAGTTCATCCTTTGAACAAGTTTTAATTAAATTATAAATTTAAATAATTTTGTTTTCTCAGAATGTATTTTTGTCATATGAAAATTTGCCGTTGTATGTCTATGAACTACTTATTAGGAACACATTGGGTGTATGAAGTGGTCAAACTCCTCATGACGGATCGGGAAGAACTCACTGACACTGTTAAAGAAGGCACCATGTTCCCGGAGGCGTGCGCTGTGGAGTCCCTGGAAAAACTGCCGTCGCCGAGGGTTTTAGATACACACGTGCCGCTGAAGCTGTTTCCAGAAGAAGCATTGAAGAAATCTAAGATTATCTACACACTACGGAATCCGAAGGACGCCTTCGTGTCTGGATATTATCATGTGAAAAACAACGTAGGGTCGGGGTATGATGGAACTTGGAATGGGTGCTTCGACTTAACTATAGACGAAAATACATGTAAATATATATTTTTGTCGACATAGAGTATTCTCTAGAAAACGTTCTTCATAACACAAGAATGAATAATTTAATATGGAAATTTTAAACGCATTTGTTAAGATGTTTCATTTTTGCTGAAATTCCAGTATTCTCACAACTGCCCCATGCTCCCTGACTAGCATCTGGCCAAAACAAATTTTTTGAAAATTTTTTCCAAATGGAGACCATTTTCGGCGTGAAATGTGACAACAGATTTTGATTTTGTCTTCCGTTCCATTTTCTTAACTCTCAGTACTCATGCCGCATTATTCATTATTTTCTTAAAACAGTAACATATAAATATTTTATTAATTATTGTCAAATAATGCTTATTTAACACAGTACTGGTTTTATTTTGATACTGAAAATTCGAAATTAGGCTGTTTTTCCGCTTATAGTTATTATGTATTCAAATATTGTTAAACATANTTGCAGTGGGTGTTGTTCTAAGTTTGGTTAAAGCCGACATGTAGATTTCATTGATCATGTATATTTCATGTCGGTTTCATGCTGAAGCTATTCACATCTCCCCTAGCTGACTTGTTATCTCATGGCTACCGTTGATTTAATTTAGCATCAGTTTAACCTGGGACCCCAGGGTCCTACTCTGAACCCGTACACTAACAACAATTGTTTGTTGAAAAGACACAGCTGGGAGTGCATTGGAAAATAATTTTTTGACAGATTTTTAACAATGTTTTCTCCAAAATACGTATGTTACCCTTAACCTGACTAATGTGTGCTAACACCCCAGTGAGTATAAAGGTTTTTTGGGGGTAAAACAAAATATTAACCAAACCTAAAAGAAGAAAAACCTTATAAAACCACGTGTTCAGTCTAGGGCACCTGGTCCAGCATTCACAGGTGTTGGTCAAGCCAATGTGGCCGCTGGTCAAACCAGCCAGTGCAGCAAGATAGGAATTTTGACCGAAAGCTAAAACATGGTTTGCATGATATTTAAAACAAGCATGACTTAATAGCGTGCTGTGGCAGAAGAGGAATGCAAGAGGCCACCATAATACTCCTGGGGTGGATTTATTGGATAAAAGCTAACATGCGTTCTAATAGTTTTCTAGTGATTTTGTATTTTTCTCTTAATGTACTACAAACAGAGTACGTTTGAAGGCTGATTTACTTCCTAATATGCACATGGCCTCCATTTGCCGAGTGGAAGAGAAAAGATTGAATTATATATTAATACAAAAAGCTGTCTTAGAGCAATAAGCTGTTTATCTAGGGTATTTCTTATCTGAAAATCATTAGAGTCTGTTGATTTGTCAGCTGTTAGGAAATGATGGTACAATTAAAGGTAATAGAACCGCTGAATCAAAGGCACCTGCTGGTTGAATGCATTGCAACACTGAATGAATGAAATCATCAGGAACCAAGAATAGTGCTGTAAGTCAACGTAGACAGTGTAGTTAGGGTGATTAGAACCGTATTGCAAGTCTAAGAGCAGTTTTTACCAAAGAGCACTATATCATCATTTTCTATTTGCTCAGGTTCAAAAAAGAAAAAAAAAACTTGATTCAACTTTCACTAGAGGCTATCGAGTTGTCAATCTTTCACAATTTACTGGTACGGACTATATCTCTAAAGCGTACCACTCCATGTGAACATGGTTGTAGTTTTCTACTTCCAGTCTAACTTAAACTAAATATGAGTGTGATTTTAGCTCTCAGGTTTACAAAATAATTAAGAAAGCACCACGTCATCTTGAGCCCCAGTGACAAACCTCTTGTCATGGGGCATCATCTTCAATAAGCTTAAGCAGTTAAGCCTCCCCCCTCTCCCCACACCTTCTCTTAAGATAAGACTAATATTTCACCTAAATTTAGATCAAGTTTTGTCTTCTAGGACACAGAAAGCAGTGTATCTATCATTCTCAATTTGCCAAGTGCTTAACTTTATTATACTCAGATTTGTCCTTTAATAAGATAACATAATAAGTGACAGTATTAGACATGAAGGAATATACATAATGGGAACTGACGGATGGCGGCATTCTTAGAATCGGCTTCATTAAGGACAGATTATATCTCAAAAAGCATCTGAAACTACAATGTGCCCTCTTGGGAGGGGGGAGGGGGTTCTATGGATGGTACACTGCATGTCACACTCAATTTAAAGCATAAAAAAACAGAAAGGCAGAAACTCGGTTGCCAGCACGACCTAAAAATCTGATTGTACTTATTGCTGAGAGCATGTCTTCTCTTCCTGCCTGCTGTCAGTATGTTTTGTTTCAATCAGTTTTATTTATTTATTTATTCATTTATTTATTTATTTATTTATTTATTTATTTATTTATTTAACCATCTTGAGTGAAAATGCCAAACTGGGCATGATCAACTGCATTATTGTCAATTATTTTTATGTGGTAGAAAAATGCCATTATTTAAATCATACTGATGCTACAATATAGTATGGTATTAAAGTACATATCTATGATATTTTGCTAACTCTCCACTGGGTGTTTTGTTATTAATTTCCATTGTTTTCATGGGCTAATTTGCTGTTGATGACATGTTTAAGAATAGATTGAAGCTTTTTTAACTGCGATGTTGTCAAACCTTGTATGTTGATATGCTCAAATTACCTAATGGGAAGCCATTTCGAGAGTGATTTGGACATTCTTTGTATATTTATTAAGATAAATGTTACGTTCAACAATGAATTTCAGTTGTGAAGCCATTTCTATTCCATTTGTAACTAATAAGCAGTTTTTAAGTTCACGTAGGAAACGCAAATAATTTCCAAATAGGAGTTAGCGTATGTGGTATAATGGGCCACATTCTATGGTGTCCTGACATTGACAAAATGTAATTATTCTAGCAATACAGGAAACACAGGTGTTTGTTATCCCATTACAGCTCTCATCTTTTGTCATTCTGGGAAAAACGTTCTGAGGAACACATTCTCTCAAGTGTTGTCTGTGGTGTTGGGTTAGCTACTTTAACGTAATGGGAGTGCTTTTTGATTTCATGTTTCTAGGAAATTAATGATGAAAAGATAAGCTGTGACAAAAGAAATATTTGTTGGAGGTGTAACTCTAGTAGTGCTGGTTTGAATTTTTTTTTCTACTTGGATGTGTGTAATGTCATGCATACAGACATGAGCTTTTTCCATGGAAAAGCGGAATTCCAAGTTTTTTATTTCAGTTCTGATGGTTCCTGAGATTCATCAAGGTTAGGTGTTAGGTCCCATGATAAATGTTCAAAGGTTTTTTTTAGTCCAAGGCCCATGTCTGTGCATAGCTAAGTTTTACTTTTCAGATGTCGTTTATTGACAATGCTGTTGTTTTTTTGGGGGTAATGAGAGTTTTGGAAGCAGGGAATACAGTGTTAGGTCATTGTTACCATGGCTTCATTAATGTTTCAAGACACACCTTATATAATAATAGACCCCTCTAGAAAACCACCAGAGAACACACGCTTCTGCCAAGGTAACTTGGTGCTCATTAATAATTAATTAATTGATTAATTAATAGATCACCAACAAAATCCAATCAACTCTAGTATCTAGGTTCATCTGTTTGTGACCTATCCTAAAAGTCTTATCAAAATCCATGTATATGCTGTCAACCACCTAAGAAAGGCAGAAACCTAACCTCCTTGACAGAAGTAAAAAAAGGTCCAATCTAAGAATTCAGATGGGTATGGGGTATTTCTTTTTCAATTTTTTCATTACATTCTTAAATATCCAAGAGTAAGTATATCCGTGTATGATATATTTATAAATTTCATTTTTAAAAAAGAAAAAAAAAACAAGTGGGGCATTCCATTGAAATGGCTACGTTAAACCTGAGTTTTGAGTCACAGTAGACTAAATATTTTGGTCATGAAGTTTTTCTATCACATCAGCCCCAATTTATAGCACATAATGATGGCAGGGATAGCAGGTGTTGGATGCCAATGAATTGATCAGCATGATAACAGTGACCTTAAATAAAGCATGATTTTGTTATATAATGATTAACTGACATTTAATGGTGCCGCAGACACATCAAGTGCCATGTCTGAGTTGAATAGAAATTATTTCAAGCAGCAGTGCCGCATAGGCAATTGTGTTTTTGATATTTAGTTGTTTTTTTTTCATTGTTGAGGACATGATTATAGTTTTTAAGACTTCTGACTTTTAGAAAGATTTGTCAGTTAATTTTTTAAGCTATTGACAAAAGAAACTGAATTAAATTTCGTTTATTGCCTCTTGGTAGTTTTGTTGCATGTTAAATGGTTAATGTTCAGATGTCTGGTGGTTTCAGGCATATAAGTCCATAATCTAATGGCAGGATTTGGAAGTATTGTCCATTTTTTGTCTTTTTTTTTTTTAGACAATTTTATTAGATTTAGCTTGTAGTGACAAAGCAGGTGGCCAATGATTGCTTCTCTACATAAATGTTACAGTAGATTATTTCATAAAAATATATTGTGAACATGTTTGGGTCAATTGAAGTAGAAGGGTTGACACTCTTTAAAGAGGTGGTACGTTGTTCGTTTGGATGGGTTTTGACAGAAAGCTGTTATCAAAAATATCTGTATTAATTAGAAACCTTTCTGGTCTCTTGGCATCATTTTATCTTCAACACACAGATGAAATAGAACACTCTATGGACGTTCAAGTGGGAAGGGTGACCATGACAGTAATTAAGCCAGACATTAATGGATAGTTAAGGCCAAGATTCACTTAACTAATAAGATTTCAGTCAGATGCGATGTTTTATGAATAGAGACACAGATGATACAAGATATATTTTTCTCGTATCTTTTAGCCATTTGATCTTTATTTGATAACCTGATAATTGACTCACTTTTTCATGTTTTTTTGTATTGATTTCCTTTTTTCATTAAGGGGAAGAGTAATTCATTTAATGACAAAGTGGTCTTCTGCAGTGCATAAGGAACGCGGGAAGTTTTACTTGGGGAATTTTTATGGAATAATTTCCCGTTATGTTTTAAAGCTACTGGTAATTTGAATGTGTT